AAGGAGGGAAGCTCCCACGAAAGACAAAAAAAAAAAAAAAAATAGAACAAGATCATATAGTGTAGGACCTAATTGGAAATGAATTCTTATCTGTTTGTTTCAGCTTTTGAGTCTGTCCCAAGGTCTTGTTGGGCCCTTTTGATTGGTGGACTCATGATCTGCAGTTTTGGACAGACGATAGAAGGTTTTATAAGAATTTTCGTATGTCAAGAGACACATTCGATTTACTCTGCCATCATTTACAAGGTTCACTCATGAAACAAGACACACACTTGTGTAAGGCTATCCCAGTAAACAAAAGAATTGCTATCACTTTAACTCGGCTTGCAAAAAATTCAGATCTCAGCTGCATCAGCAACACATTTGGTGTAGGTGTGTCAACAGTGTGTACCATATACATTAAAGTGTGTAAAGCAATTTGTCAAATATTAACACCAATTTACCTGATGAAACCAACCACTAGTGAGATGTTGAATATTATAAAAGCCTTCGAGGAAAAATGGGGATTCCCCCAATGTGGTGGCGCCATTGATGGTTGCCACATCCCCATCATATCACCCTCTACATACCCAGCTGACTATTATAATAGAAAGGGATGGCACAGTGTGCTGTTGCAGGGATTAGTCGATCATAGGTATAGATTTATTGACTTTGACTTAGGTTGGCCTGGGAAATGTCATGACACCTGGGTCTATGAACATTCAAGCATTGGCCACACAGATTCAGAAGGAAACTATTACCCTGAATTGGTTAAAAACATTAACAATGTGCCTATCCCTGTTGTGCTTGTCGGTGACTCGGCCTATGCTTTGTCGAATGGCATGATGAAACCATATAAGAGAGAAAATTTGACAAGGGAACAAAAGAGGTATAACTATATTCAAAGTAGAAGCCGCATGGTGGTTGAAAATGCTTTTGGCCGTCTCAAGAATAGATGGCGTTGTCTGATGAAGCGCAACGATAGCTCCATTACCAACATGAAGTACATCATTGGTGCCTGTCTTGTGTTGCATAATTTCTGTGAAGCGTGGGGCGACAACAGCTTACCCGATGATGAGGAAGAAGATGACTTTACTCAACCTGACACAGAACCAACTAACAATGCTGGTGATGCAAATACAATTCGTGATACAATATGCACATATATATCACAAGCTCTTTATTGCAACATTTTTTTGAAACATTTTATTGATGTTGGTCACTATTACATTAAATGTAAACTTTACATGCATCTTCAAAACAATGGACGGAAGTGATTTAATGCAGTTACGTTTACCTGATACTTGGCATGTTATTGTAAACAACTGTAAATATTCTAAAAAGCACCACTCTTTCTAAAAACAACACAATTCTGTTTGAATAAGTTAATGATTAAAAAATGAATGGTGCTAAAGATGGAAAAAAAAAAATATGAACCTGATATATAAAAACTTGTAAATACTGTATATAGCACCATGCACTTACATATGAGATGAACGTCAAGCTAATCTAGATTATATATTTAACCTTCGCATGAGTGTATTTGTTTACCTATTGCGAAGATACAGAACAATAAAAGGTATCGTAGTTAAAGGTTTAAAACTTTATTTAAATAGGTCATTTAACATTTCTTTTAGCAAAATATAAAACTTA